TGATACTTTCACGATGCTTGCCATGCTTTTGCATCCTTTTTGATGTTCAAAGATTTCAGTTATTATTCATTGTAATTGCATGGAAACGGGTTGCCAAAGGGATCAGTAAATGACAGAATGTTTTTTTATTTTTTTGGGGTGAACTAACCCTTTAAGTATTTCTCCAACCACAAACTAAGCCATGCAAATGCGTTTCTGCATGCAAATATCAGACCCTGTCTAATCTGGATGCAAGCTACCCCTTCTAGAGAGGCTTGTTACCTAGATTTGTAAATTCGTCAAACCTTCGCATCAAACCTTCGCACAATTCAGGATTTCAAAACAAATTTAGCTCCTAAAATACATTGTGATTGATGTAATCTGTTATGTATGATGAAATCTTAAGCCTCGAAGTTATTAATTGCTTTCAAAACTTATTAAAGCATATTATATGAAATCTTAAAGGAAATGAAAATTGTCATCATTCACTCACCTGTTTAAAACTAAATAAATAAATGCATAAATATTATAAATACATGGATTCAGTAGTAGTTATAAAATTTGTAAATGACACAGAGGTGAGTAAATGACAACAATGTTTGGGGGAACTATTCCTTTGAAATTATGATTAGATTTCTGTAATTTCCTGTAAAAATCTGTAATGTCTCATCATTTGTCTGCAAAACTCACAAAAAATATTTCATTCATCATCCCGTTTCGGGAAAAGGAAGTCAGTTTCTCACAAATTACATTGGTGATGTCAAAACAAGGTGCTGACCTCATCTCTGTCTGAAAACACTGGTGACACTGTCCTTCAAACATTCAGATGGCTGACCCTCACACCACAGACCCATTATAGACACCTACGCATGAAACCCATTTAGTCACATTAAAAGAGCAAAAGCAGTTCCTGCATCAACTTCAATTTACTCAAAACAACTGCCACCCTTTTTTAAGAGCTAAAGCTTAAAAAAGAAATGTTAAAGAGCAGATGCGACAGAGCAATGCATTTTGTTTTGGAGGGTTTCAGATATAATCTTTGGACCAAAATCACAATGCATGTGTTATACAAGCTGTTTCTCATGTTATCCCAAACTCTTCGAATTACAGGTGATTTCACAGATTTGCATTGCTCGTGGCCTTCGCAGGCATGCCATAGAGTTTTAATGTGGTCTCTGCACATCGAGCTTGGCCAGCCAGTATATTTGCATGGGCCAATTGTGCTTTTGAATGCTTTGTATGGAAACAAATGAGAAATCCACATTACCCTGCACTTTCCTTCACTCAAATTCCAGCATACGACGTTGTGATTGCACGCAGCACACTAGAGTATAATTTTACAGGTTTTTATCATGTCATCTTTCATCACGCACATCTGGAATTTTATCGTCCCCGTGCTGGTTTTGTGTGCCACGTCAATCATCTTGGTGCTCAAAGCTTTACAGGTAATAGATTCTGGTTTGCTTCAATTTCTCTGTAGTTGGACTGTAAAATCACATTCTGGCCCTTTGAGTGTTCGGTTAGTAAATATTTTTGACTAATTTGACTATGCTTTCATCTATGAATAAGAGTGCAGTATAGCTCAGTTTAACACTTAGCATTCAGAAAAACCCTGCTATTGGCTTAAAGCCACATGAGATTTAGGTGTTTTTACAGCCATAAATCTCATAATTTTTCATGGAAGCAAATAAGCTGTGAAAATCATTTAGAAGTCTTTATGATCTAGGGCATTTTGACATGACTGTGGCTCTCTGAGTAAGTCTACAACTCCCATCTCTTCCTGTGAGTTTTCCACTTGTTTTGTTTTCCCACATCCTAAAAATTTACCTCACTATAGAAATTTCTCTCTGTCTTTCCACATAACTTTAATGTGTGCAGTCATCAGGAGGTAGGACCCTGTGGTGTTCAGATCATCTTAATGTCTGGCAAACACTGTACCTGTACTTCAATCCTTGTGTTTTAAGTGCTTTCTGCAGTGGCTCAAACCACAGCATCTGTTTCATGTCAAATGCTTCAATATCATCCAGAACGTCTGCACACTGTAGCTATTTTGTTTTATTTAACAGATCAGACCTTAGTCACATTCAGTAATCGTAGCTAATCTGCTAAAAGTAATTTTCATAAATCACTTGTTTGTTTTTTATTAGTTTTTTTTTCCACACTATGGTATAATAATAATATAACCATTATAATTACGATTATTTATTTATTTATTCGGGACAGTGCACATTAATGAACAATCTAACATTTCTGTACAGACTGTAAATGAGCCAGGGTATGGCATAAATGCTCATTTTCACCTGTAGTCCCGAAACAGGAAGACAACAACATGTAAAATAATACAACACAATAGAAAATGACAATATACAATAACAAGCAAGAAACACATTAGCACACACGCTGTATCAATAAAATTAATCAAAATGAGGAATAAATACTGGGAACTTTTAAGAAACTGTTTAAGGTGCTTTTTAAATCCCATACACAAAAGAACATTTTGAAAAATATTTAAGATGTCCTTTTCTTGTATGTTATCTGAATGCAAAACTGTGCAACAATTTAAATAATATTTTTGAATGGGGGGGTAATAATAATAATATTAACAATAATTATAGTGATAATAGAATGTTTAAAATGTTTAAATCAAAGCACTGTATTCAAATATGGCATTTGAATTCTTGTTTTCACTTTTTGGACATTTATGAAATGGCTCAACCTTCACACACTTATAGCTACAATCTTATTAACATCAGCCCTCTACTTTCTCAAGCAACGACGGTGACCCCTTGACCACTAAGTTTCCACAATTGTCTCTAGGGGTGAGTACGGGGACATGGAGGGGACACACAAAGCAAACCAGCCCTTACAGACATGCATGCTCTCTAACAGCATCTTAAGGGCGGGAGGAACAGTTTTCCTCCACTGGAGCAGAACAGGACAACCTTCATGTGACAGATAAAACTCTTACTGCTCTCAGATGATGGTTCATACCTTTTATGGGCCTCTTTCTAGACTAAATTAAATCCGACCTTTTCGGCATAGACGCCACAGGGAGAAATGTACAGCTTACAGAACAACAATTCATTGTATCAAACTGGCATTCTCATATGCTCATATGCAATGTCGACTAAGGTGTTAAGCTCCAAAATGATAAAAAGCACCCTAAAACTATAAAAGTGGTCTCATGAAGCCATGTGACAGTTTTGCATTTGGAATAGACTAAAAAAAAATCTTGACACTCTACTGTAGTTCTCCTTTGCATGACAGAATTGATTCGCTTCATAACAATTTGATTCGCTTCATAACAAAAATTAAAAATCTGACTGATTCAGTTCTCAAGGTCACTCACAGCAGTTATACTGTAGGTTTACTAGAGGAGTATTTTCAGTAAAAAAGGCTTCGATTTTAGTCACAAAGCTATCAAATAGCTTCAGAAGACCTAAAATATAATACAAAAGTCATATGGACTATTTTTAAGATACCTTTATTTTCAAAGATATGCGTTTTGTGTGTGTGTCATTTTAGAGCTCTACATTCACTTTCATCATGTGGAGGAAAAAGGCATGAATATGAGAATTTCACATTCTGTGTCACAAAGGATTGAAACCACATGTAGCTGAATAAATACATGATGTCATAGCAACTCAGGAAGAAAAAAACTGTCAACTGCCAAATCCCTGTAATTTAATTCTGATTTTAATGCATTTTATAACCCTTGATTGATATTTTTAGAGTTTTTTCATGGTCGAATCTGTTGCATGACAAAGTGCCTCTCAACAGATTTTGAATGCACTCGGTGGCTTGTGTTTGTTGGCCAGACAGGTTCTCTAGATCGGGAGGGGGCTGATTTGTGGTCATAGCATGTCTAGTTTTGAAGTGCTCTTCCTGGGAGAGCTGGCTCAAAATGTGCTTGCAGGGAGAGAGGCTTCCCTGGTCACCCGAGGTCGAGGAAACCCCTCATCTATCACTGAGAGCAGAATAAAGAATGTGTTTACCATGCCAATATGGAGAGTTAAAGAGTTCTCACTCAAGGACATTTGGTGAAGTGGAATAACAGTGTAATGGCTCAACAGAGCAGCTCTTCTCGGACTAGAAAACAGAGTTTTTTGCAGGAGCGAGTATGTCCAAATAGAGCAAGAACTTTAAGAGATGGTTCCAGGTGAAATGGTTCACCTTGGCAGGAAAACAAGCATAGAAAGAAATCAACTGCACATCTTCATCATTTGTTTATGTGCGATATCTGATTGTATGTTTATAAATCCTTTGCAAAAAGCAATTTACTGTGCTGTGTAAACAATGATATCAGCACTTACCACTGTAGGAGTGCCAGCAAACGTATGTAAATACATGCAAAAGACCTGTTTGTTTATTTTCCCGCATGTTGTGCTAGTTTGGGTTTTGTTGTAGGAAAATGAACCCCACCTGCCAAATGTCATTATATAAGTAATTACTTATTCAAAATAACATGAGCTATATATATATATATATATATATATATATATATATATATATATGCACACACACACATCATTCTATGCTTTGACGGATCTTTGACATTTTCTAGTGGGTATCCGGCGTATACCTGTGTATCACGTAGACTACACCACTACATTTACACTCTCAAATAACACATAAAAACTGCATGCATGATAATTATAAAAGAAAATGTTGTTTAAAATACCCTGTTTCACTGTTTTAGTTTTATAACAAAGTTGGAAGTTGAAATAGTCTTTTCTTCCCTATTGTGAGGTACAGTATATCCGAGTGAATATGATCCGAGTGAATTGTATTCGCTTCTCGAACAAGAAAAAAAAGGGGGTCCTGCCAATAAACATGTCGTCAGAGAAAAGAAGAGATGATTAAAGATTAAGAGGGCACATGCATTAAAAAATAATGAATTAATATGGATAAATAATAAATGAATAAATACTGTAATATTCCATAAAAAAACAAGAATCTGCAATTTTGATTTCATTAACTTAAATGGGGACTCGTCTTGCTCTCTTTTTGTCATTGAACAGCATAAATCATGGAAGAAGATCAAGAATATGGTGCACTGGTCACCATTTGTCATGTCCTTCAAGAAGAAGTACCCTTGGATACAGCTGGCTGGCCATGCAGGTAGGCTTTAAAAAAGAGCTAAAGATTTTGCATTAGTTTCCATGAATCAAAGTCAGTTAATAAATTAAAAATAGTGCATAGTGAATTGCTTTGAATTTGAAAGAATTATCGCTATTGTGGTAATGCTGAGAATGCAATGCATTGTCTCTGTTCTCAGGCAATTTCAAAGCAGGAGCTAACGGTCGCATCCTAAAGAAACACTGTGAGTGTGAGCAACAATGTCTCGATAGGCTAATGAGAGACGTGCTAAAGCCATACGTTCCCGCCTACCATGGAGATGTAGAGAAGGATGGAGAGAGGTACAATCAGATGGAGGACTTGCTGGCAGACTTTGACCTACCCTGTGTCATGGACTGCAAGATGGGCGTAAGGTCAGTTACTGAGATTGGACCACTATCCTGCTACACTGCCTCACCTAACCTTTTACTTCACAAAAATCTATCTACAACCCTAGAAATGACTAAGAACACCCTAGTAACCACCTAGAGCCCACCTAAATCTGACCCAGAATAACCTCTCTACGTTCTATAATACTCCACAAACCCAGAACAACACTGCAAACATTTACCTAGAAAAAACTCACAACACCTTTTAGCACTACACAGAATACGTCATTAACATAGCAACAAACAAAAACACCTTGACAACTGTCCAGCAACGCCTTAGCAACAATTCAGTAATGCTCTATGACAATATGTAACCCGTGAAACTTTAAAACTGAAATTAAACTTTTCAGTTTTAACTTTACTTACTTTTTCTAGTTTACTTTTTCAAGTTTAGATATAATATATTGTATTAGAACTAAAACTATTATAAATTGTTTCCGTTAATTGAAATAAAGCTGAAATAAAATAAAATATTTTGAATATCCAACCTAAGTTTAACTTTAAAAACTTAAATGAAAATGAGAAATATTGCATTGGCAACTAATTGAAATAAATTAAGTAATAAAAGTGAATCAAAGCTAAATAGAAAGATAAACTAATAAACATGTCAAAAGCACAAAATTATTAAAACAAACTAAAAATGTATAAAACTAATAGTTACTAAAAAAGAAAACTGAACATTAAAAAAGCAAATTCAAAATATGCAGACTGATCTCGTGAAATGGCATATGTATGACACGCCAATTCGTATTTCCATTTTTGGCATGCCATCTACACGCATAATCGCTTTTCAGCCTGTTTATGAACGTTAACTTACATTACTGTGTAAGTTAGGTCAAATATATGACCTACCCCAACCCCGTCCCTAAACTGAGGTTAATACGATTTATGAATCTTCCCCTACCATCCAAGGAAAGAAATATCGTTCCCCAGATGTAGATCTACATTTTTTTTCGTTTCGCTCGACATTTAACGGCGTGTGCATACATGCGGAATCACTCGGACATTTAACGGCGTAGACATACACGCGGATATCTCAAAATGCATATACTGTAGATAACACGCCACTTGACTTGAAAGTGGCGTGCATGTTTTACGCAAAAGTCATGATGTCATGTTGAAATATGAATACTATAATAGTATATGAATAAATACTATAACAGTTTATGAATAATACTTTACTGTGCTTAGTTGCTAATCTAGAGTGTTCAAAATTCAAATTGAAAATAGTTTTTTGTCTCTTGCGTATAATATAAGAAAGAGAGAGAGATCAAAAGAGAAAGAAATTCATCTAATCACTAATCAAAATAAAGTGGGCAAAAAATTCCCCTCCCTGCAAAAACGTAATCTTCATCTTTTGTTATCTTCCACTTATGCAACAGCATGTCCGCTGCTGAAAATCTTGTATGTTATTTTAAATTGAATAGTTCCATTGACCCATTATTTGTACAGATGTTATACATTCCAAGCACCAGAGAACTCGAACAAGGACCTCACTCCCTAGAGATTTCACAGCAGAGCGGCTCGGTCCTCTAATCTGGTGAAAGATAGCTGTGCTTGTTTGCGGCTGGTGCAAGGAGACCATGAAACACATCGTCCATCGCTCATCACTTTTATCCCTACTCTCACATTTCAACGTTCTCATCTCTGTCGTTCCCGGGACTGTTCTGTTTGCTGTTGCAAGCCTGACCGAATCACGGCAGCAGCCATGGACAAATATAGAGATAACCAGATGGTCAGGATATTAACAGAATCCTTGCTGGCCTGGCCAAACAAAGCAATGTGACGCTTTCAGATTCACGCACTTCTTAGTTTCTAAGGGAGCGTTTTCCAAGAAAAGTAAAGTTGGAGAATAAATATTTATTTAGTTATCATGCCATTAGCAAATAAGACGAACTACACTTTTAGTAGGCACTACAAACTTCAACAGAATATGATTGATGATGCAACACAAGCAACAAGTAAAATGACAGAAACTGAGCCAGCGGGTTATTTTTCTCCCCTCTTGCAGGACGTATCTGGAAGAGGAGTTGACGAAAGCCAGGAAGAAGCCTAGCTTGAGATCTGACATGTACCAGAAGATGATCGAGGTGGACCCCAATGCGCCCACGGAAAAGGAGACAGAACAGAAAGCGGTCACTAAGCCTCGCTACATGCAGTGGAGGGAAACCATCAGCTCCACCGCCACGCTAGGCTTCCGCATCGAGGGCATCAAGGTGAGACGTTCGGGCACAAAAGCTTTAAAGGAACTTTGACATGTTTTCATCATTACACTCGTCTCAACTGAAAGACTAGACAAACTGCATAATCTACGGGTCATGTCGGAGGTATTGGTTTCCTGATAATTAGAAGCTGCGTTTACATGTAGCTTGTAGTACAGTCAGAAAAAAAAAATGTCAATAAGAATCGATTGGCCAAATCCAATTAAAATTTCATTCGGATTGTGAGGGGTGGTTTAAACCTTTTCTAATCCGATTGAGCGGACATGTAATGGTCGGATTGAAACCCGATAATAGAAAGTCTTGTGCATTTGCAATGATGACGTAATGATGTGTGGAAAGAGATGTTGTTGAATGAACAACAAATGAATGTCATAAATGATTGACACAGATGCCTTGTTTTGGGCATGAAAAGGGGCACTGTAACCTTGATTTTTGCTGAGAATGAACATTATCCAACAAAGTTCATTGAGCTTTACTTTAATCTTGAGTTAACAAAAGGGATCTTGGAAGCGCAGTGCTGTTTTATCTGAGAAATCACAATACCGTATTAATTAGATCCCAAACCTCTCACTCAGGTGAAGGGGGGCAGGATTGGCCTTTTTCAAGAGGTTGATTGTGACTGAATGTTTCTGTCACACACACACAGCCTGTTTGTGGCACGTTCTTTGAGCTCAACATCAGTCAGTGACAGGCTGCAGCTCTCACAACATGATTTCAGTTCTGTAATTCCGGCCTAGATACACTGCCCTAATAATGTAAATACACCCTCATGGAAAATGTCAAAAAGACTTAATACAAGTTAAAAACATTCAGCTCATTAAGCCAAACCAGGCGGCCTTGATTCCATTAAGACAAGCAAGAGGAGATTAGAAAGATTATGTTCGGTCTCTGCCATGATTTTCCAAAATAAATCTTTGTTAATGAGAGCTCTGCAGATGTCTTGCATGAATAGGGAAGTATAGGTTCTCCTTTGGCACTTTCCATCAGCACAAAGGGCAGGTTCTCCCCCTCTTTCACTATTTACGTGGATGGGGGATGCCCTGGGCGCCTCTACATAAAGTCTTTTCTGAATAACAGGCAGACTTGGGGTGGGCGATATGACCAAAATCTTATATCACGAATCACGATTTAAGTAATTTTATTTCAATTATATATGGTTATTTTTATTGATTTAAATAAGGATTTTATTGAAATTTTACATCACTATCCAAAAGAATAGTAATTAATTAATTAATATTATATAATTAATTAACCAATTACAAGCAATAGGACAAACTACAATAGAACAAAGACACAAATTAATTAGACCAAATTGAAAAACTTCAAAGACTCTAGAAATACTTGAAAAAATACTACATAAAGTGTATAAAAAACACTGCATAGTCTTCACTGTGTAAATGAAATATACATTTATTCTTATTAAATGCATAAATTCTTATCAGAGATTTTCTCTTTTGTTGTTTGATTAACATTAACGACACAGACGACAACTGGTATATTAGGCTGCTGTCACTTTAAGACCGAAAGCACATATCCAATACAGTTACACATGCGTTTTCTTTTACTTATTTTACGTTTTAACTGTCGTGAGTGTGTATTTAAAGATTAAAAAGTTAAAGATGTAAGTGTGTATTTAACATTTCAAGCCTAATTTTTTGTCAAAAGCACTCAGTTCAGTCCTCACACGCTGAATGAGCAGCGGCTTCATGTGTCACTCAGACTGACCAAACAGTCTCTCTGAGATATATAGTGAAATTAATTCTCTTACGCTGTTTATTGCGCGTCAGTGATTTAAAATCACTTGTTTTATAAGTGTAATGCTTAAACGTATTTAAATGATAAACTTTTGTTACCATGCAGAACAGCAACATCACATGAGCAGCATAACCGTGATAGAGACAAGTCCAAAATCTCTACCGGTTGACACATTTCTTGCAGTTAACCGTGTCTATGTGTATATGTTCCACCCTTAATGCAGACTGTTGAGTTTCCTGTTGTTGTGATTACTGTCTTAACTTAGAAGCACATTTTTCCATAGTCCATCAAAATTTGTGCACAGTCCATCAATATGACCCTGCCTTGCCCTTTGATGTTTACTACGACTATTATTAAGGTCATAATTGGGGTTATTTCAACAAATCCTTAAATAGTATTATTAAACTAATCTAAAATAATTAAACTTGTAATTGAGCTATGAGCAACATTGGCTCAAATGGATCAACATGGTAAAACATGTCCTGATATAGAAATAGCATTGGCATATTTAAAAATATTTTCAAATAGAAAACAGTTATTTTCATAATACTTAACAATATTACTTTTTTTGGTGTATTTTTAATCAAATAAATGCCTTGTTGAGCATAAGAGACTTATTTTATAAACATAAAAGTTCTTACCGATCCCAAACTTTTGAACGGCAGTTTATATATATATATATAGATCGGCAAAATGAATTCATCTTCCCTTTCCCTTCTACAGAATGAGGACGGAACAGTAAACAGGGACTTTAAAAAGACTAAAACGCGAGAACAAGTGACTGAGGCCTTCCAAGACTTCGTCAAAGGAAACGAGAAAATCCTGGTAAGTCTGCGCTCATGTGTTTATGTGCTTTTTCTGCCAATTTCAAAGTCTCCTGAGGCACACGGAGGGGAAGTGAGTGACAGGTGGAGCCAAACTCTCTCATTTACCCCCCAGGGTGGTTTGGGTTTCCTTTGTGTGGTGCAGTCCCTTCAGAGTTATAGATGTTTGAAAGCAGCGAAAGCTCACCTGCTGTCAGGGAAAACCACTCTTTAAGTGCACACAAACTTGATTATATTACAGAGAAATACACACATGTAAATTGCATAATGCAGTTATTGACACACGACTGTGTATTCTTGTGACATTAAAGTACTGTAAACGCAATACCGGTTTAAATATTAATAGGATGTTTGCACCTACAACAAAGAAATAACATTACATGGGAGGTTTCCCATGTTGTAATGGGTGTTTCCTTAAAGTTAAGCCTTATAGGCAAATAGTTCCAAAGAAGTTGTCCTATTGGCTTCCTGTGAGGCATTAATTTAACCCAATGTTTGTCCACAGCGTGTCCTGAATGTGCATCCCTATTCCCTTAAATGCTCTGTGATTCATCTGATAACTGTGCTTTAGATTCGTCAGATAAACTTGCTTTTATTTCCACAATTAACAACCTCTGATTTAAACGCTGAATTAATGCAATTATTTTGGCATGAATTAGAACAGAGTGTGGTGGTGGTACTATATGATCTGATTATAGACACTAATAATTCCTGATAATAAGTCTTGACTCATTTGGTTTATATCTGTTTAGCATCCAAATAATACATACTTGAAAAAATAAGGGATGTAACTAAATTCAACCTTAAAAATGTTTGTTTTTCTATTTCTTTTATATATATATATATTAGGGCTGTGAAACGATTAATCGCGATTAATAAAACCGTATCCAAAATAAAAGTTTGTGTTAACATAATATATGTGGGTGCACTGTGTAACATTATATATATATATATATATATACACACACACACACACAAATACACACACATGCTTGTACTGTATATATTTAAGAAATATTTTCATGTATATGCTGTATATAGATTTATATATAATTTATATTATATATAAATATAAATATTTTATATATAAATAATATTTTTTTCTTAAATATATACAAGCATGTGTGTGTATTTATATATATATAATTTTACACAGTGCACCCACATATATTATGTAAACACAAACTTATTTTGGATGCGATTAATGGCGATTAATCGTTCGACAGCCCTACTATATATATATATGTATAACTTCAGAATAAGGTTAATTTATTAATTAACATAATGCATAAGGTATCATAAACTAAATTAAAAACATTTTATTGGAATTTATTCATCTATATTCATGTCAATTTATAAAAAAAATAGCACTCTGATAATTAAAGTCTGTTACATAAATTAAATAATGTTTATTTTAACAATTTTAAATATTATAAGTGTATTATGTGCAGAAATCAACAATATTAATACTTGAAATATTAATTAACTCTTTAAAAAAGGTTCAAACATATCTTGAATTATTACATTTATATGCAGATTTAAAGAAAAAGGCTTATTGTCTCATTACATTATAGCTTTTTTTATCACATGCATCCAAGTATTTTTGACACTACATTTGTGGGTATTTTTATAGTTACTTACACTTTGTGTCTTTTCCCAAAGAATTCCTATCTGAATCGTCTGAAAGAGATCAGGGACACTTTGGAAAAGTCAACGTTTTTCAAAACGCACGAGGTAAACAGTCACTCTTTTGTTTATCATTTTAAGACACATTAGTTACACTAACGACCATGGTGAAATTAATAAATGCAACCTTTTACGCACCCATGTGATAAGAGCATGTGAAAATGGGGAAAATGTATAAAACACAATAGCATCTATGCAAAGACCAGCTCTGAAGTAATTATCTGTACACAGGATGCTTGAAGAAGAGCTGCAAAGCATTACACGACCTCTTTTAATCGACTTTAAAGACAAATACACTAGATCAACTTCATGTATTGCCAGCGTCAGAACTTTGTTTTGATACAAGGAGGTAGAACAAGCTATGCAAACACAGAGTCGTGCTTATTCATATTAATAGATAACAAAAACAAACTGTATGGTGGAAAACAGGACAACTATCTGTTTAATAAGTGAGCGCACAATTAAGATGGAAACAGGATATTTGTGTCTGTTTTTTGATGAAACATTTCACTCTTCCCCTCTCTGGTGCTCAGGTGATTGGCAGTTCTCTATTATTCGTCCATGACAAACGGGAGCAGGCAAAAGTGTGGATGATAGACTTTGGGAAGACCACACCATTGCCGGAGGGGCAGGAGCTGTGCCACAGGGCCACCTGGGTGGAGGGTAACAGGGAAGACGGCTACCTCTACGGCCTAGACCACCTCATAGACATTATTTCCCAAATGCTACCTAAACCCCACTAGAGTAAGAGGATTCGATCTTCTCGCCCGCACTACAGTTCAAGACCTAAAGCTATCCTAACCGATCGCCCCGTCTCACCAAAAAAGAAAACTGTAAAACTTAAAACAGGATATCAGCCGCAATGGCCTTTAAACGAGTGTGTATGTTTGTAAACTTGTAGATGCTGTACATATAGTGTAAATGCCAGTGTTTTAGTTCAGAACGTGTGAATAGGATCTTTGCAGCTAGCGCTTTAACAAACGGGTGAATCTTAAAGCCACACTCCCTTTATGTGCGATGTTTTCAACATGCTTGTGTTTCGGAAAAGTGTAAAGCACACACTGTTTTACTCATGATCGTCTTAATATTTTGTTTTAGATGCTGCAGAAAAGACTTTTTGTATTCTCACCTATAGGCACCATTTCTTATTTGAAACAAAACTAAAATATATATAAAATGGTAAAGCCTAACAATCAGATGTTTATTGAGATATATTTATATTTTTAAGATTCTAACTAATATTCATTTGTTTTATAGTTTTTTTTTACCCTTTTAAGATAATGTTAATGTACTGTTAAATATGTCATTTATACTGAGTGCCTATAGTAGAACAAATTTGGTGGATGGGCTGTGCTTTTATACTTAAATTCTTCATATTGACATTCCAAGTAGGGCTGGGTAATTGATCAATACAGATTTTACAATTCGGTTACGATTCTTGATTACAATTAACAAGCTCTCAATCAATTCAGTCCGGACTTCAATCCAATTTAATACGATTCCGATGTATTTGGGTATGCATTTCAGTTAAAGTTTTTGACTTTAGTCATTCGTTTTGAGAATGAGGCTACGCTCCCACTAAAAAAATGTATTTTTTCCTGCTCCCGTTCACAAATCGTACGTTTTGTCCCGTTCCAGTAAGACTCTGTCCCTCTCCGGTGTCATAAGCAATTTTTCACTCTATTAAAGTCTCATTTTTACGCGCCACCCTAGACTTAATAGAAAAGTGTTTCGTTTTGCTGTCACTTGTATTGCATCACATTCAAAACAGATTGCAAACTTTAAAATATTGCTAACTATGATATTACAAATATGATTTTTGTTTTGTTGCGGTGTCACTGAAGATTGAGTTGATTTGGAGTGAGTAATATAAGCTGAACACAGTGCCATCTGTAGGATGGGAAGAGCAGTACAAATACAAATACTTTATCACGTAGCCACTAAATAATTTGGATATTAAGACTGAAAAACTGAAATTAACTGAAAAATCTATATTTTTACCCAGCCCTATCCCCAAGTGCCCAAAATAATGTGCAATTAATTGAGTGTCAACGTTTTTTTTAGGCTCCAGTTCAAGGAGATTATTAATCTGTCAATACCAGCGTGTGGTATGTTTTCAAGTTCCCTGTTAACACACAGTCTGCACTGCTTTTTGTATTTTAAAATCAGTAAGAACAGCAACTGTCCTTGGAGTCACTATAATAAGGGTAAAAATAAGAGCTTTTCTACGAGCTACAATGTATTTTTTTAATTAATACAGACTGTGATCTTAATCTACACATCTGTTGACCAAAAACGTCAAACATTCCATGCAAGTTCAAACATTGCAGATCATCACCAGAGCCTTAAGAAATGTTGTACTTCCTTTGAAAGTGCCTGAGGGCGCCGCTCGATGCAGTGCCTCTGAATGCTGATTCACTTGAGAGAGGTGATTGTTGTTTGCATGACTATTTGCCATGCAAATGAACCATCCCCGCATACCGCCAAACAATGAGATAATGCTCAAAGCAAAATATCATTGGAGATAAAAACTAATTTGTTGGTCAGTATGGAAACCTTGTGCTGACACCAGCATAAACGCAATCAGTGATTATTCGTTGTTGATTTAGCCCGGGAGAGAGGAACACCTAGGGCAGACCTACAGGTCGGGACGTCAACACCACGCACTCCAGTCACTCGGTAAAGGCAGATGGGTTATTGAGAGGCCTCGAACCAAATGTCACCGCATTGTTTTTTTTGTTTTTTACCCGTCATATATTTGTGACGGGATTTTGCTGTTGTTAAATAAATGACCTTTTACGAGTGCAAAAGGAACAGAGAGGACAAAAGGTCTCAAATCCGTGTCCTAAAGCCACAGTTCTCTAAACACGCTTAAAATGGGTAGGAAAAATGAAATAGGTCAAATCATAGCTGCTGTAAGTGATTTTTTAATAGGCCTACAATACATAATTCTTCACTACCTGACAGTCAGATATCACTGAAATAGGTGTTTGAGAAAAAGAAGTAAAAAAATATATAAAAAACGCAGCCAGGAAACATTTTTCATTCTTCAAATGCCAACATAATGGTAGTTATGGCATGTACCACATGATGTGCGACACTAAACAAAAAATAACCTGAAAAATTAAAGAAAAAGGCGACTTTTGTTTGGAAAGTAAAATTATTTTTGCATTTGATTTGATGGCATTAAAAAAAACACTTACAGCAGCTTTAATCAGGTCTATTCACCCCCAATTTTTTTTTTCTGTACTAAATCTTGAAGCCAGATGTGCTTTCTCCCTACACAAGCTAAAACACGGAAGTAGGGCTTCCCCTGCTGTTTATGGTGCTGTATTACAGAGAACAAACAAAACTGACCAAGTCTTCTTCTTGCCCTTGACGTTTTACATTTCACGCCATATTTGTGAGGTCAAAAATTGTGGGAATTTCTAGTGGTGTCATAAGCATACTCATATTTATATTGTATGTTTTGTTACATTTTGCACAAGAACACTAAATGTAGCTGCATTGTTTTTTGTTTTTTGTTTTCTTTCTTGTTTGTTTGGCTTCCCATATCTTGGTGACGTAGTGGTTCACTGTAATATAAGCTAAGCTCATTGCTGTGTAAAAAAATGTGCAAACATCTTCAGAGTGTGCTCTGTCTGTTCATGAAAATAAATCTCTGAAACCAGTGACATTTGACCCTGTTGCATTTATGTTGGTCAAGGGCTTGCTGCAGCCTGTTTAACACAAGGAACATTTACACAACATCAAAATGCTCCTGTGACCAAAATATCAGTGTTGTGGTCCAGAACCTTTATCTATGTTTTAGGAAACTTAAGCTCTCTTGCATCTTAACCTTGCTGTATATTTGCCATGTCAATGCAGCAATTAAATAATAATGCTCGGTTGTGCAATTTTACTGGAGAAAATTATTTTTCCCCCCAAAAATAAACATGGTTGGGCTTTTCTTTATCTGGTGATACAGTAATTGAATATCATTGTTAAACATAATATTTTGACAATCTTAAACAGATACTTCACCCAAAAATGAAAATGCTGTCATCATTTACTCACCCTTATGTTGCTCCAAACATGTATGAGTTTCTTTCTTCTGCTGAACACAAAAGATCCACATATTAGAATGATTTCTGAAGGATCATGTGACACTAAAGGAGAAATAATGGTGAAAATTCAGTTTTGATCCGAGGAATAAAATAGATTTTAAAATATATTGAAATAGAAAACATTTATTTTAAATTGTCATAATATTGTACAATATTACTGTTTTTTTGTATTTTGAAATAAATGCAGCCTTGGTGAGCAGAAGAGACTTCTTTTAAAAACAATAAAAATCTTACCGATCTAAAACTTTTGACTGGTATTAGTTTAAACATATAAATACATTTAGACCACATAACAGTGATTGCTATCAGGATGTGAAGAGACTTTCAATCAGCATAACAAAGAAGGTTTATGGAACAAATCGCCTACCCTGCCTTTAATTCAACTCAAACAGGCTTTGCCCCTTTTTTGCATATGCCTTGGGCAAGAACTTTTTAAATAAGGAATGTTGAGACATGTACATTCCTGGAAGAAAACTCAAGACTACATTCAAGGCATTTTCAGGCAGTTCAGAAACAGTGCTTACTGATATATATATATATAAATAAAAGGTATGTACATGCACGCACACACAGGGAATAACACCCTTTTGGAGTGGACTGGACTTTGTGTAACTTTGCAGACCTTTTTCATGCTTAAACTGCGACACTTAAACTAAGTTTAAAATGTAAAAAAATAATAGTCACAATAGGATCCCTTTTAAACAAGTTCGTTTCTCTCAAAGTGAATAGTTGCCACCTAGTGTCTAGCCTGTTTAATGCACTTGGCCTAAAGCCTATTCAAAATGATGCATACTGACACTTAGACACTCACTGCATCTATGCACTTAAAATTAGTCAAAATTGTTGCTTCAGTGGTTGCTGTGCAGTGGTTACATATTTTTGGCATCCATCTATCCTGACCTGATCAGATGTAGGCCAGTCTATGGTGCACAAATAAAACATTTTATCTGATGCATAAATAGTGGAGGTTAAGCAGGTTATTTAGCATTTTCTTCTCTTGAATAAACTGGACTACCTTATTTAGTCATACCTGGACTGAATCAAACCGCTGGCAGTGAGCCTCAGAAATATTAGCCAGGGGATCATGGAGCTTGGAGTGAGGCCATGCTGGATACTATTGAATCGCCCACCAGCCTCACACACACACACACACACAACTATACTAATAAAAGGACCATACAGCCAAAACATTAAAATATGTATGAAGCCCTTGACCCTCGTCTGTACTCTTCCCACAAAGCACAGACATCAGAAAGCACAGTACTAAAAAATAAATTCAGTCATACAAGTGAAACTTCACAGAGCAGCAGCTCTGAGGAATAAGCAGAACTCAGAAGAGAAAAAGATTAGAAGACAAGAGAAGTTTGGCAAATCCTAATACAGAGAGAGTGTATCGACTATTCTCTGCATGGAAGAAGTGAATGCTGTCTTGCTGATAAGGCTTTTAAATGATATATTGAAATGCAGCATTTTATCTATAGATCAACAAGAACATGTGGCAAATAATAATAATTAGTTCTCTGCACTCAAAGAACTTTACATGGAAGCGGGGCATGTACCACCACGAATGTGCAGCATCCACCTGGATGTTACGACAGCAGCCAAATTATGTGATGAAGACAATGATGATGATGATGTTTATTTCAAACCCGCATTCTCGTTCTCACAAATCAACATTACAGGCTAGATAAACAATTTATACAAGTGCATGGTTTGAAAAGGAGGTGGATGAAGCAACGCTTATATAATTCCAAACCCCCAAACAATTAGTATATATATATATATATATATATATATATATATTACAATTAGCATATATATGATTAGGAGATGATTAGGAGGCTATGATGGACAGAGGCCAGTGGGCAAATTTGGCCAGGATGCCAGGGTTACACCCCTACTCTTTTTTGAAGGACATCCTAGGATTTTTTATGATAACAGAGTCAAGACTTCGGTTTAACTTCTCATCCGAAGGACGGTGCTTTTGACAGCATTGTGTCCCCATCACTACAGGTTACTGGGGCTTTAGGAACCACACAGACTACAGGATGATTACCCTCCTGCTGGTCTCTCTAACACATCCGGACAGCAAGCCAACATTGAATAAATATTGATTTTCCTATCCATCTGAATCATCAATTATGGTTGATATTGAAATTTCAATGCAAAATAAATTGAATCACCATTACCATATCGATGAAACCTGATGTTATGAATATTGTTTCAATATTCCTGATAATTGAAAAAAAAAAAAATGAAATTCCGGACAGGATTTCAACGTTGTTTCAATATTAAACAGGGTGTTGAATAATGTAGAATCAACATCAGAGTTCGATGTTGATTCAATGACTTAATGTTAACAACGGAATGTTGAGTTAACATAATTTTAATGACTGTGTGCTATCTGGCCTCCAGCTGCAACCTAGTTTCCCCAGAAGATTTCCCAATCCAGGCTCAACCCTGCTTAACTTCAGAGGGCAACCAGTCTAGGGCTACAGGATGACTTGATTAATTATACACCTTGCACTAATTAATAGAATGGCACACTTAACACACACACATTATACGGACAGATAGTCTGATAATAAATTTAATATGTGTATTATTCTAAATTTTAATAATTTATGCTGTTATATAATATTGTCTACATCTGATTGGAATGGCAGCTAAGAAAATAGGCCTGGCGAAGACCAACGCTGCAACAATATCACAATCAAGGGGTTCTTTAATGCTTTTTCTCGTTTTCAACTTTTGTTAGAGTGAAATGTTGCTGTTTGAGCATATAAAAAAGACATGGTTGGAATGGTTAGCTCAAAGACCACTCTTAAGGGAGATATTTTTATTTAACAGAATCAAGAACTACAACGACACCCCATAAAACTAAATCAAGACTTCGTAAAATGGCATCATAATACCCCTTTAAAGGATAATTAATAATAAGCAATCCAAGTTACATGTCATTGTGTCTTACCCGTGTCTTACTTTCGATGTTTTCGTTGTCACGCAGCCATTTTTAATCCAGTTACCGTACCGTTTGAGCCGATAGATGGCGCCAGCCGCGCCACATAGACAGCGCGAAGTTAAATGAAAATGACGAACGTAGTACCGGTGAGATTATATTGGAGAGATTGGCGATTAGTTATCTTACATAACGTTACTGTAAAAAAAATCTGTTTTGTATACTACTAAAATTACATTTGGATGTTTTATCATAGCTACAATGTATTTTATTTTATTATAAGTAGGTTAACTCTTGGATATCCAATAGCCTACTACATAATTTTTAGTTTAGTTCCCTGTGGACCTCAGTTAGAGACTATGGGCTATATGCACGCATAAATTCCGCATTTGACGTAAGGATGCTCGTCCATTTCCGGTTGTGTAGATTAAAGCGGAGGAAAACCGGAGAAAACGGGATTATGGCAGAGTCTTCAATATTTACTGTCCTCCCGTACTTTGAAACGAAACGTACATACGTTTAGATGTAATTTTATATATAGTTATGTTTATTTAATATAATTTTAAAAAGAAGCATAAACACAACGAGGGGTGTCTGTTTTATCTGTTTTTGTGACTAACGTTTCATTAGTATAACCATGGAGTATAAAATTCAATATAAATTCTCGGTATTGCATTGGACTCTACGATCGGCGGAAGTTATCGAGCATCACCGGAAATAACGCCGTGCATAGAGCCCATTGCCTCAGTGGACTTCAGTGGAATGTTCTGAAGAGAAGCTTTAGTGACGTTAATGCATTGTTTATGTGTGTGATATCAATGTCATAGAAACATAGATATACAATGGGAATTTCATCTCCTGCATTCCTCTCCATTCCAAGACAGTTTAGTAATGAGAGAGGTTTAAGTTTCTGTCAGATTGTAAAAAACAGATATATCCAGACAAAGACGTCATCTGTTTTATTTCTGAAGCCTAATATCATGAGTGAATATCGAAAAAGATGCGAAAATATGAAATACAGAAACAAACCGTTTATAATCGTTGGCACTGACATTTTTGTTTGGCTGACTCTCGTGGTAGACTACTGACATGAGTGATTGAATTGAAAGTGGTAGCTATATTTGTGTGGCAGTTGTGGGTGGGTGTATCCTGTGGATACAAATAAACTGAAAGGACTGATCTACTTATTATATACGCATATTATTATAGGCTACATAAAATATTATGACAGTTGTTTTGAGTTTCCTTGCATTTTTGTTCTAATGTAGTTATCATCAACTGGAGAATGAGTGCTTATAAAAGAGCGCCATCTGCTGGGTCTTCAAGTAACAAACGTCTTTTCCTTCAAAAATACTCATTGTCATGGAGCCCTTGCTGCTGTGGGACTCCGCAGTGGCATTGAGCAGGGTTGAGCAGAGTTTGCCTCCACGCTCAAGGCGGTGGGCTGTAACTACCCACTCTTGTCTGCGAGGCAGCAGACATCTAAAATGAGCCTTGTCTTAGTGCAACTGGTTGCTCATTGGAGGGCATAGTGGCACCATAGTGGTTTACTCGGAATGGAAGATGTGGACAGGGAGTGATTAAAGATGTCTGTGTAAATAGGGGCCAGTTGTGCAACACATGTTCTTGGTGTACATCAGTTTTAACCTCAGAATCTCTTTATTTACCCATCTCTCCTCAGCTGTAAACCAGCCCAGTATGGCTCATAAGAGTATTCATAGTACAGAACAGTTTGTTTGGCATGTAGATCATGAAAGTGTTTGGTTTTACAAGCTCGACTGTACACATAACATTAAATTGTTTACTGAAACTATTCACTGTGCCTTTGGTTGGTTTTATCATGAGAGACGAGAAAACCAGCGAGACTAGAGGAATGCAGGGAAAAGGCCTGCAATGATAGAATACATGCCCAACTGCATGAGGAACAGCCTTATTTGGAAAAGGAGGCAAATTATTATAGGTTGGAAACAGTCTGAGATAACCCAAGACCCAGAAACACTATAAGAGGGAGAAAAACTGACTGGCACAGATTTTATGTGTTGTTATGTAAAGTACTACCGAACAAAGGCAACATTTTGTAACTATTAGATATGTTGTAAATATCCAATTCTTAATTATTAAAAATAGGCTTTTTTATCTTTCCAGTTACACAGTATCTGTCAAAAGTTTGGAATTTTTTTATTTATTTTTTTAAGAAATCTCTTGAGCATAAGAGACTTCTTTCAAAAAATGTTTTTAATGTTTCCAAACTTTTGACAGATCCTGTATATAGCTGTAAAGATAAAAAAACAAGGCTGCATTTGTTTAAAAAATACATGAAAAACTGTAATATTGTGAAATACTATATTCTTACAAAGCAAAACAACTGTTTAAACTGTAATTCATTCCTACTCACTCATTCATTCACTCATTGTTTACACAGGTATTTCTGAAGTTTTACCTTTCACTGTGAAGATCTAAACATATTTAGATATACAGGAAATTGCAATGGAAGACGATTTCGATACACTGTAAATAGGTTACTGTAAAAGTGTTTACAGTATCAGAACTGTAATTTCATTTACAGTAATACAATATTATAGTATACTATTAATATTTACAGTGTGAGTACTGTATTTTTCATTTATAGTACAAGTACCATATTTTTAATTTACAGTAACAATACTGTATATTGTATTCATAAGTACAACTACTGTATTTTTATTTACAGTATTATAATTTATTTCCTTACATTACATAATTCGATTTTTTTTTTACAATTTACAGTAGAAAATAATTACAGTAGTAAACACATATTTTCCCATAATCCTTAGCTATTTACAGTATTATACTGCTGGCACATTTTAACAGTATTATACTGTACATATTACAGTAAAATACTGTTCAAATTGCAAAAATCCGTTACAGTGATCTAAATATGTTTTATTTTATCAACAAGCAACTTTTAAGTTAAGACCGTGTGTCATTTAGGAAAGTCGGACAGGATTCTTTTTCATAGTCTCTATAAAAAAATGGTGAGGATTGTGGATTGGGCAGCTTGTAGAAAGCTAAAATGGCAGCTCACCTGATTATTTCTGACAGATGGACTACATTTAAGTCTTTCACAGCTTTCATTACAACCAACCCTTAAGCTAGGAAGTAATTGTGCACTCGGTCATATCAGTGCAAACAGGAATTAAAGCAGGCTAACAAATATTGGGGAAAAGGAGTGCAGTCTGTTTTGATGGTTATCATGCTTCATGCTTTTCACTAGCAAAAACATTATGCATAATTAAATTCAAGTCCCACCAGTTTACATTCATTTTAGACATAACCAACATCTGTTTGCATTACCTTGCCAAGTGTGAATACAGTCCTACAAAACCAAGCAGAGAAATACAAAGCCGTCTGTCAGTTTAAGTCAAGAAAGACTGATATAATTACGTTTTTTTCGTTCTTTCTGTAATTACATATAATTTCGATTTGGTACCAAAGTACATCCGTATATGTTTGCGAAACATCATCTTTCCTCAAGAGAGGAAATCTCCTTTTAATGGTGTTAATTTCAGTAAGTTGGGTAAATGCCTTTAAGTCATGTCTCTATACTCATTTGTGAGCCGTTGTGACCAAGGAACTGTTATCATTAGATGATAGCCTGTGGTTAATTGTATTAATGTTTCTTTTATGGGAATTCTGTTCATCATGCTGGCAGGCCAGTAGTAGTTTAAAACGCCATGGCGACGATATAAAATTCCTTACAAATAAACAAATCAAATTTCCACACACCATTTCTAGCACCACTGCAGAAAAATAAACTGGCTTCAAGCTTTAATCATGCCACCAGAATAGTTACTTCTGAATGTATTTCTTAGTTTGTAATTAGAAAACGAAACAAGACACCAAAAATGTCACTTTTGAAAAGCAGAATTTATTAGATATGGTACCTCTGGCGTTTCTAGAGATGTGACATGTCATTGTGTAAGTCAGCTGAGTTTGGCCGTAACATATGTAGGCCTTTGGATTTAGCCCTGCATATAATGTTTGTATTTAAAAAGGCAGCATTAAACACAACAGCACACAACAATACAGAACTAATTCACTTTTTGTCCATATTTACAACAAATCCTCAAATACAATTACAGCACACATTCACACCAGAGATCAGCTTACTATATATTTATAACATCCAACAAAATGACTCTTAGAGTGAGGAACACACACTGTAAAAATGAATATGCTTTATCTAATCAATTACAAGCAATATTATTAATTAAATATAACAAATTAGAATTGAGTAATAATTAATCAAATTAAAAGTTAACCATTTAAAGTGAGTAAAACTTACAACAACGACCAAAAAACATAAACTGAGGTCACCATTATGGTGATCGGTGTGTTTTAAAATGACGGTTTTCTCCTTCAGTGATTCTGCTTGTTAACATCAGGTGCATTCAATGTTCCCAATATAAAATAAAGAGTTCTTATTAATTAATCTTGTCTGTCTGTTAGTGAGATATTTTTGTTAATTTTTTGGGGAGTAAACTTTACTCATTTTAAATGGTTAACTTTTAAGGAATAATTTGATTAATTATTACTCAATTCTATTTTGTTAAATCTAATTAATAATATTGCTTGTGATCTGTTGCCACAATTCTATTGATTAGATAAAGCATATTCATTTTTACAGTGCAATGAACCAGTTCAGAATACTTCATATTTAGGGCTTCCGAATGTATCGCATACTCGGCAACAGCACAGATTCTGCTTGCTCAATTGGTGCTGCCATTTGAAATTAGTGGTTAATTTTTCAAGGTCAGTCTTAAATCATAATGTTTTGCCTATTTCAATTTGCGGGATGCCTTTCTCCTGTCGGTCACATAAAAATAACTCGCACTTAATTGCGGTATTTCATACCCTACACATGGGTTGATTAAAGTGGCCAGTCACTATGGAAACTGGCATACAATGATTCTCCAATACTTGGCTGTTTTACTTAACAACAGATGATTACTGGAGAAAAAGGTTATGTTTCTGGCTGGTATGAGGACTAATAGATTAACAATAACAGGTGATGTATTTGTGCAGAATACAAGTTATGTTTTATAAAACAAATACACACTTTCTGGTTTATAATGCTTAATTTAAGTAATAAAACACAGCACACTAAGGAAATACTGTAGACACTGTAATGCACTTGACATAAATAATATTTAGTGTAATATGTAATCATAGTGCTCTGTGAGAAGCAACATTTTAAAAGGATAGTTCACCCAAAAATGTATTTGATTTTGATTTTATATGAGCAAACATGAGGTTCAGTAATTTTGTGTGTACTGTTCCTTTAAGATTCTTTCAGCTACTTTATTGGACACTTCAAACCTCTTTCTTTTTTTTACAAACTGAAAATGTTCATAATCTATATTGGTCAATTTAATACATACATTAAGACTATACAGAGTTAAGTACGATTAAGATCGGTTTTCCCTGACAGGAATATAATGTGTTCGGCACATAGACGTTTTGCAAAATTTTTAGAGATATTCACAGAATGTTCATTCTTTTCTGCTGTCCCTCAACAGTCAGGTCCCCTTGATGCAGTACCTGACAGGACAGGAAGTAGCAGGAGATGGGCTGAAAATCTGCATGTGATCAACCCCTGGATCTCCCAGGCCACGTGGGGTCCGCCTCAAAGCTCCCATGCATGTTGGCCGGACAGCGCGGGAGAAAGGTGCACGTTCAAGATTAGGGTTTCAATCAGAGCTGCTGAGGGGTGGCCTGCTCCCTGTAGCCTGTAAGTACAACAACATCAGAGATCACAAGACTGCAGTTACTTTATACACCACAATTCAAAGGTTTGGGGTCTGTATACGAATTTTATAATGTTTTTAAAATGTCTTCTTATGGCCTTGACACACCAAGCCTAGGTAAAAGAACTAGCGACGACAAAAGCTGACTATGTTGTATGAAAACATTCATTTGTGCATTGGAATGCTCAGTCTGTCTCTCGGACTTCTTTGCTTGCTTTCATCACTTTTGCACTTTTTGTATTTTAATCAAATAAAATGCTATAGTAAACAAATAAATTGGTGTAATATTACGAAACTCAGAATGTGCCAACAACACCATCCCCTGAAGGTACTCAAAATATTTCAAAACAGCACCACCCAGTGGTCAAAAGTTATAACAAAATTTCCAAAAAGGCTAATAACATTTGAATAAATCTGCCTGTTGAAATGCCACTGGTCTTAATAGATTTCTTGGGTCAAGCTGAGAACTTAGATACCAGGTTTTCCTTATTTGGCCGAACTTCCTGTCCGCCATCTTGATTTTCAGTCAAAACCTACTTTTTCGAACTCCTCCTAGACCGTTTGTCTGATTTTCACCAAAATCTAACACTCTGCAATGCCTTGACATATTGACACCAAACTTTATATATGTGTCATTGTCACTTCACTCTGACCACATCACATCAGTTTTGTAACTGCGCCACCTATTAGTCGAAAGTGATAATCCATTAAATCATATTATTTACAGTTTCTATGATTTTTCAGCCATTTCGCCTACAATTGTCTTTAATTGCTCATTGTTGCAGTTGGTCTGACACTTTCAGCAATGTTAGCATGTCTTGTCGTCTTATGCTGCTTGGCCCCGGTAATTGCTGCTTGCAGCTATATTTTAAAATGTAATTGATTATGAAAAAGCTGAATTTTTAGATGTGTTAAGCGTCACATGATCCTAGAATCATTCTAATATGATGATTTGGTGCTTAAGAAACATTTCTTATTGAAACATCTGGTATTGTAACAAAAAAGTTGAAGATTCCACCGTAATTTCTTCAAAGCCTGATCCATAAAGTCAAATACAGTATATTCAGAAAGCCATTTTTTTTTTTACTTAGCCTCGCGTCACTACAAACTCATAGGACGTTTTTTTTTTGTAGGCCACACAAAAAAAAAGTTATTTTTTCTAAAAAAAAATTCAATAACTGAAATTTTGGCTTGTTCCTCATTTTATTTTTGTGTGTGAGTTCAAATGTGTTTATTGAAATAAATTTGAAATTAAGTAAAAAAAAAAAAATGCAATGGAAACTTGAACATAAAAACATAGGTGGCAAAATTATAAATGCCTTAGTACAAAAATTATTAAAATTAAATTTTTTTTATTTTAATAATACTAAAATAAGCATGTTATCAATAATTATTTTATTACATTGTATCCTTTTGATGTCAAATGAGGTGAATGACCAAACAACAGTTTAATTTCTTACAGAAAGCCTAGAAAGCCTAAAAATAGCTCCTCACCAACAATGCTCAACGCTACCACCTGATGCGAGTGGCACTTGACACATCCATTGGAGGCGTCTGGAGGGGTGACTCAGTTCAGTTTTCTTACACATCTCCGCTAAAGTGCCTCATTGGTTCAGCTCGAGCAGCAGTCTGCATTTACATATCACAGGTTTTGGCTTTATGTTTAAGCGTTTATAGTGAGATTTAGAATGGGGATAGACTAATGACAGGTTTAAACGCAGATGACTCAATGCATTAAAGCTTTCAAGATCCAAGCTTCAAATAACAAGTCCATTTTTTTTTTTTTGCATGCAAGCCATTAGTAATCTGTGCTGCAAATGTATTAGTAGAAGGAATTGTATGTAGACACAACAATGAACAACTGTAATTATTTGTCAATATTCATGCCATTCTAAACCTATATGCCTTTCTTAAAGAATATCCTGGCTGCTTTTTTTATTATAATGAAAATAAATGAGGATCGGGGCTGACAAATGACCAAAAAGCACCATAAAATTATCATGAATTTAGTCCTTTTTTTCCTTCAGAGCTCTTCAGTTGTTCAGTCGATCCATTCCACAAAACTAGTCTGAATGATTCGTTCACAAAACAGACTGATCCGATTCTCACTTACTAAATGCTTCAGGAGGATAATAGCCCACAAAGATAGCTTTATTTTATTGTTATGGTGCTGTTACCTTCTTTTTTTAAGCTCGACAGCCCTATTTCTCATTCAATTTGATTATATTAGCCTCATTTCTTATTATATCATTTCAACACAAATGTGTTTCATGAAAAAGAAAATCATGCAGGTTTGATTCTTGAGGTGAACTATTACTTTAAACTGTCTTTCAAGGCTGCTTAAAGATCTTGTCAAAGGGCTCAGCGTGCGACTGAAGGAGTCATAGTGGTGCAGCGTTGTAACAGTCTCTGTATGAAGTCTCACGTCTGCAAAGCTTCTTTTCTAAGGAGCGCTATGGTTCTACTGGCATTTAATGGACAGAAAGTGGATCAAACAGACTGAGAGGAGACTGGCAGATGGCAGGTAGTGGGAGGCACATTATCCAAGATGGATCAAAAATAAACAGAATGGGAGAAGCCGAGCTTGCAGCATGTGTAATGATAATGGGCTGAAATTAGTGACCAAACTGTGAGGACAACAGACCTGTATCAAATATATTGTTATGTTGTGCTGTTTAGGATATTGCCATATTTTTTAATATAAATTGCATTTAGAATGATTACATTAATGTACTATTTCATAATGCTCGCATCCACACTGCAAAATTCTGACATTCACATGTAAATGCAAAAGTGAATCCTCTAAATCACCATTCTGTTAAAAAAAATTTGGATTAGTAGTCTTAATTGGATCTCATGTCTTTGCTTCAATTTATTTAAAAAAATATCTAATTCATTTGAATGAATTTTTAAAAATTGTTTTGAATGAATGATGCAAAACTTCGCTTGTTTCAGGGTAAATCACTGTTTTTTGTAATGAATCTCTTGAATGATTCAATGACTTACTTATAAAAAGGGACGAGTCAGACACGTTCGGCTTCCCGTAGCGATGCTCGCACGGTGTTTACGTACTTTATCACAGATGAAGTGGATTAGATGGAATATTTGTTAAATACATAGACATTTCAGATGTTTTCATGAGGTAACAGAAACACTTTTTATGTACTGCTTAATACAGAACCATCTCAATCATCAGAATAAATTTCATAAGCTGTATTTAAAATTCATATTCATATGCTGTATTTAAAAGCAATAAAGTGGGTCTATACTGTATATTTGTATCAGTGTTATTTAGACATAACACAATATAAGGTTATTACATGAAAAGAGTTTTTGCTGTTATAAAAACGTGAACTTGTGAGCATTAACGTAACTGAAGGTGTCAGAATAAACACGAAACACACGTCATTGTTGTCATCTGTGAATCCGACCAATCGTGGAAAAGCTGTCGCCATCAGAACTTGTGCATTCGCTCTGGAAAAGATTCACCGTTCAAGAATCACTCTCGTATTTCGGCATTGGTCACAGTGATGTGGCGTCGGCGGACAAAAGTTCAAGTCAGACGCCGAACGGTCTGCCCAGCGCCGCATAAAGTCGAACACACCTAAAGACTTAACTTGTTTCATTACTAGATGAATCAGCGTTTTTGAACGAATATCTTGCGTGAATTATTCAATGACCAAAAAAAAGGTTATCTTAAGGTTACAAAGGAAGCAACTAAACATTGCCTTTACAACAAAACACTTAATTTTTGCAGTGTAGATGCAGTATGTATGAGGCCAACGCGTGTAGGTTATGTTTTATGGTATTTATATCTGAGACAGGTCTGAGTATGAGTTGTGACAAGACAAAAGTCAAATATTAGGTCCACCTACCTTCAGAGACTTTCAATCCAAAAGGTTGTGAAGTAGTAAAATAAATAAAATAATAGATTAGATATTTGAAATAAATCCATAAAAAGATTCAACAAAAGGGAAGTCAAAAGGGAATCCTGAATCACGTTCAACAACGGTACAATACAATCGAATCTGTGTTTAAATATTCAATAAGAGTAAAATTGTTCCACAGGAAAAACATGTGACGTGAGATATTAAAGTTCTGCGAGTTGCATCGTCCGCCTACACAGAACAATTACTGCAGCGCTTTCAATCCACTCCTACCAACAGACCGCTCTAATAGTCATTGTTCAAAGAATTCTGGCACTTTCTACTGCCCTGGAAGCCGGAGATGGTATCACAGTATAAGGAGCGAGAAACGTGAGGTTAAACTTGAACATGAGCGAGGTTGACTGCTGAAATCCTGTCATCTTTTTTTACACTTACTACATATGATAAAAGGATAGTCAACCCAAAAATCCCCCACTCATGTTGTTCCAAACCTGTATTACTTTCTTTCTTCTGCAGAACAGAAAATCGTATATTTCAAAGGATGTTTTAACTGTTGTGTCCATTTTATCGATGGCATTGACTTTAATTGTATGGACAAAAAAAGACTAAATATTTTTTTTAAATATCATCTTTTGTGTTCGACAGAAGAAATAAAGTCACACGGGTTTTGGCACGACCTGAGGGTGAGTAAATGATGACAGAATCTTATTTTTTTGGGTGAACTAACACTAACTGTATGTTCTAATTTTGCTGGAAATCAATTAAAAAAGATCTGTGAGATCATGACCATCAACCTCTTAAAGTGAATATAGTGTGATTTTAAATGAATATATAATTTTTATAAAAATAAAGTATATTTTTAAACTTTATTTATTCACTATTTAACACAAAAGTAAAATTATTTTTTGGGGATTTATTTATTTATTAGTTTCTATTTTACCAACAACAACAGTTCATTTATGTCACAAACTGCTCTGAGGAGAGGGTTAAGATCCAAATGCAGCTTTATTTGAGGGCAATCCAGAGGCGTAATCCAATGTACAGGCAAGGGTCATACACAGATAGGCAGTCCAAGACAGATACACAGAGAAACAAACCAAACAGGCAGGGACCAGAGGCAAGAGAGTAATCCAGGGAACAGGGCAAGATATCCAAAAACCAAGAGACAAGAAAACCGTAGAATGCTCAGAATTGCAGTGTAACACTAAAACAAGACTTCGCGGTGAGTGACTGAATGAACATGGTATATATAGCCAGACTAACAAGATGAGACAGGTGAATGCAATAGTGAATGAGGTACAGGTGAATGTGATCAGTGATGATGAGTCCGGGCAGTGAGTTCTGGGAACTGTAGTTTGTGTGAAACATAGTCTTATCTGGAGTGCCCTCTGGAGGCTCAATAGGGCACTCCAGCTGGTAACCGTTACATAGCCCCCCCTTTAAGGAGCGGATTCCAGACGCTCCTCACAATGTCCAGGAGGGAGGTGGAGCGGAGGCGGACCTGGGGGCGGGATGGAGGGCCAGGCCCGTGGAGCGGAAGAGGACCTGGAGACTGCGGCGGAGCTAGCTGTGGAGGTGACAAGGTCGGAGCAGGCTGTGCAGACGGCCAGGGCGGAGCAGGATGAGCAGACGGCCAAGACGGTGAAGACCCCTCGGGCAGCCACGGCGGTGAAGACCCCTCGGGCGGCCACGGCGGTGAAGACCCCTGGGGCGGCCTCGGCAGTGAAGACCCCTCGGGCAGCCACGGCGGTGAAGACCCCTCGGGCGGCCACGGCGGTGAAGACCCCTGGGGCGGCCTCGGCGGTGAAGACCCCTGGGGCGGCCTCGGCGGTGAAGACCCCTCGGGCGGCCACGGCGGTGAAGACCCCTGGGGCGGCCTCGGCAGTGAAGACCCCTGGGGCGGCCTCGGCGGTGAAGACCCCTCGGGCGGCCTCGGCTGGTACACTGGGCCCCCCCCAAAAAAATATTTGGGCGGAGTCCCCGGATTAGAAGCAGACGGGGAGTGGACGGTCTCGGGCTGGACGGTCTCGGGCTGGACGGTCTCGGGCTGGACGGTCTCGGGCTCTGGCTGGACGGTCACGGGCTGGACGGTCTCGGGCTGGACGGTCTCGGGCTGGACGGTCTCGGGCTGGACGGTCTCAGGCTGGACGGTCTCGGGCTCGGGCTGGACGGTCTCGGGCTCTGGCTGGACGGTCTCGGGCTGGACGGTCTCGGGCTCTGGCTGGACGGTCTCGGGCTGGACGGTCTCGGGATGGACGGTCACTGGCGTTGGCTGGACGGGACTGGTCGGAACCAGCGGTGAGGGGATTTCAGATTCGGGAAGGCTGGATGGAACCAGCGGTGAAGAGAGTTCATGCTCGGGAGGGCTAGACGGAACCAGCGATGAGGGAAGTTCAGGCTCTGGAGGGCTAGACGGAACCAGCGATGATGAACGCTCGGGCTCGGCAGGGCTGACGCGGAGCGCAGGCTCGGCAGGGCTGATGTTGATATCTCGCATAATAACACGAATAACTGGCAGGGTGCAAAGATCTAGTTGAGCCCGCACATCCGACAGGATGCGCAGGTACTCAGACCAATCAGGCATAGCGGCAGTCATCCTGGGGATTCAGATCAGGCGAGGGCACCTACCAGATTTTCACTGAAGTCCTGCTGGATTCATAGGTGGTGATTGCTGCTGGATCTTGGCACGGCGAAGTCTTCTGTCACAAACTGCTCTGAGGAGAGGGTTAAGATCCAAATGCAGCTTTATTTGAGGGCAATCCAGAGGCGTAATCCAATGTACAGGCAAGGGTCATACACAGATAGGCAGTCCAAGACAGATACACAGAGAAACAAACCAAACAGGCAGGGACCAGAGGCAAGAGAGTAATCCAGGGAACAGGGCAAGATATCCAAAAACCAAGAGACAAGAAAACCGTAGAATGCTCAGAATTGCAGTGTAACACTAAAACAAGACTTCGCAGGGATTGAACAAATGAACCAGGTATATATAGACAGACAAACAGGATGATACACAGGTGAATGCTATCAGAGAACAAGGTACAGGTGAGTGTGATCAGTGAAGATGAGTCCGAGCAATGAGTTATGGGAAATGTAGTCTGAGAGTGATACAAGACTAATCTGGAGTGCCTACTGGTGGGTATCAAGGGCACTCCAGCTGGTGACCGTTACAATTTAGAGACCTTTGCTATCAAAATCCAGCAAAGCTAACCATCATAAAAGTATCCAAGTGGTCAATACTCTTGTAAAATCTATTTTGGAACAAAAGTAAAGTGAATATATAAAATCAAAATTGTAATTTTAGGACAATCTATTCTTTTAAAAACAACAGTTTACTCAAAAGTCATTAATTACGTAAAAAAAGATGTTTTTGATGAAATCTGAGATTTCTGTCCCTCCATTGACAGTCCACGCAACTACCACAATTTCAGTTGTGTAGCTGTCATTGGAGGGTCAGAAAGCTCTCAGATTTCATTTGTTTTCCGAAGATGAACGAAAGTCTTACAGGTTTGGAATGACATGAAGGTGTGTAATTTTTGGGTGAACTATCCATTTAAATAAATAAAGAATAAAATAACCCTGCTTTGGTATTACTGAAGCATAGGCTACTCACTTGCAAGAATGACCATGTCCATTCCCCAAAATATGCTCATGATCCAGCCCACCATGACAATGGCAGTGACGATCTGAATGAAGGCAGCTGCGATGTTCAGCCAGAACACACAGCACATGTGCCTGTCGGGCAGGTCTGTCCTCGCTCCGCACAGAACTGTGAAGGCTGAGATGAATGTACCTGTCACAAAAACACAGTGAGATGCTGTCAACATGATGCTCTTCTGTGGTTAAAATGGTTAACGCAAGCAATATGACCTCAGTCTTAATCTCAGCCTAAAACCGCACACTGTAATGATATCATTCATCTGGTTGTGAATTATAGGCATAATTATGGCATAAAATATTAACAACAGAGATTGAATATAAATTAACATGGTGATTTTAAGAGCAGTCAGTGTCAGGACATGGGTGGTCTGAGTTGAAATGAATGTCTGTTCTATATGCATAAAAGTTTATGGTTTAATATATTATTAATTACACAATATAGCACACTAATCACTACTAATATGATTCTTTCTGGTCCTTTTTTATGTTTTTACCTGTTGGAAGATTAAAGATCTTTTTCAAGAATCTTTCAAAATTCTGGAACAACATGAAATTTTCATTTTTAACATAATTGGCATTCACAACCTTATTTACTTCCATAATCTGAAGTAGGCTATTTACAAGTAAACAAAAAAGAAATAGACCGGTACTTAATCAATTAAGCCAGGTATCTCCGAGTATCCGGCTATCACTGTTTTCAGCGTAATCTGAGGAAGACGGCAAAAAAGGCCGCACCTCTCTATTATGAATAGTTTTTAAGATAAGTACACATTTGTCCTCAGAGGGTTAACCAGCATGGCACCGTAACTCACCAAGACATCTCTTGTCATTTAGATTTCTTTGCAGGCAATTAGGTTATGAGGAGCTTTCCATATTTGTAAGGCCGATAAGCATAATTTCCAGAGATTGAGCGAGAAGGCTGAACTGTGCTGCCATGCGCAGTTCAGCATCTCATTAGTATTATCACAATAATAGATTCTAATGGAGATGACAGTGGCTGAACATTAGCATAGCTCATAAACTGATAAGTCTCCTGATTGTGAGAAATGTACTTTATTCACTCCGGTTACAGCCTGTCTTTTGGTCAACTTTATGGTCTGGCGCTATGAAATGTTTGGCTTTTATAGAGAGGAACTGGGACAGAACCTCTTAAGTTTATCTTTTGGAAGGGGCTTTCCAAGTTGAGCCCTTTCACAATGTTCTTATTCCCACGGCAGTTACAAACACACACTATAAACAATACGTTTACTGTCCCATAAAGCAGATAGCTCACAACAGACACAAAAGGAACAAAGAATGAATTTAGGAAATGGAAAATAACAATCTCTCTTTCTCTCTCAATCCCTTTGACACAAGGAGGAGATATACACTAACATTGTCGTTCATCTATTTACATTCATCTATTTTATAATACAGTAATATCGTATATTACAAAAAAACTGTTTTCAATTAGATTATATTTTTATTTCTTGTAGCTAAACTAACACCATGAATATTTATACCAAAAGTGCTTACATAGCAGAGACGTTCAAAACTGACCAATAAATAAATAAATAAATAAATAAAATAAAATAAAAAATGACAGTGGCACCCGAAAACCTTCAGAATGAGTCTGCAAACGCTCCCCTATAGCAACATTATCTCTGTCTCAGAAGAAAAGGAACTCAATGGGATAATTAACCTCCCACACTGCAATGGGGCACATGTGAGGAAGGCTAGGGAAAATTATAGTGATTGTGAGCCTAATGTGCAGGGATTAGGACCCCTACCGTATCTCATCTTCATGAATCCCTTCTTCATAGAGAAAACGAGTGTGCATGTCTGAATTACATGTGCGGTATGCAAGCAGACATGTGCCTGTTTGACAGGCAGAAGCATTGTTGACAGCCTCATGCAAGATCACACAGAGAGATGATATGCAGTGCAAGTGTGTGTGAAATCTTCATGTCATTCACTTTAATTAGGAAAAAAAATACTAGGCACTAACTCGTTTCAACATTGATAATAATAATAATAAATGATTCTTGAGCAGTAAATCAGCATATTAGCGTCAAGGATCATGTGACACTGAAGACTGGAGTAATGATGCTGAAAATTCAGCTTTGCATCACAGAAATAATCTTGTCTTCTCTCACCCATCGCTGACCTAGAGTCTCTTCTGAGTGGAAGCTTGTGGATGGAGCATTCAATGAGGATTTTTCAGGAAGTCATTCAGAAGACTCCTCACTTGTTGACTAGCACACATTGCTTGAGTTTCTTCAAGTCACAGAGCGTGATTTGGACAGATAAACAGGAACGACCTTCAGTTTATCAAAAGACACGTTTCAACACGAGCATTATGGTTATGGAGGTAAACCTGCTATTCAAAATCGAGATCCATAGAGAAATTGATTTTTAGCAATAAGAAAAAAACATTTCATGAAAGACCTATTAGCACCAAGCGTTGTAAACTACGGTGTATGCTTCTTAGGCAGGGTGATTTAAAATGACATTTATTAAAAAAAAGAAATGTTATTAAATGTTTAACAGCTGCTCAATCATGACATTACATCGATCATATCGCTAACCTGGAAGGCAAATGTTTTGGTGATTTAAATTTCTATTTGGTTTTACAATATAGTTTTAAAATAAGGTGTGTGGTTAACATTACTGTCACTTAGTTACTTTAAGACTAAATAGTGTCGAGTCAGTGAGATATTTTTTAAAGGAAATTATTTATTAAGCAAGTACACATTGAATTGATTAAAAGTGACAGTAAAGACCTATTAAGTTAAGGTTCATTTCAATTAAATGCTTTCTATTTGTTGAAGAATCTTAAACCAAAATGATCATGTTTTCCACAAAAGGTTTAAGCACACTAGAGTAATGATGCTGAAAATTCAGCTTTGCCATCATAGGAATAAATTACATTTTAGAATATTTTTAACAGAAAACATTTAATTTAAAATCTAATAAATGTAATTAATTAATATAATAAAATAAATACATTGATTGTAAATGTTTCAAAATATTACTGTATTTTTATCAAATAAATGCAGCCACTCTTGTATGATTTTATGCATATATATATATATATATATATAAGACATATTTATTAATTTTTGAAGGTATCCATGAGTCAAATCAATGTGAGTTTAGTAGGCTAGTGGAGGCATAAGCTAATATAATCATTTTTTTCAGATGTATAAATTAAACATCATTCACTAGCCCTCAGTGTACACTGACCTTCTAAAATACATCATTGCACACTGTGTTTGGTCCACAGGTGGAAACTAATTTGATGTATAACAGAGGCATTTTGAATGCAAGGTGAAGGATTAGAAAACATGCACAGCGACCATACCGGAAATTGAAAATTCCACAACAGTTCTGCGGCCTCTATTTATAACAGCTCAAGGATGAAGAGCCAAGACAGCTTGCGAGAAGACACACAAAAAGTCAGTCTGACTGCCAGCAGTCGTCACAGTTTTCAGTCATTCTGTGAGGTGCTGATTACTCATCTTTTACTCTCTGTTCTATCCTTTCCAAAGAGTCATTTATGTTAACACTGGCTCACAGCACCAATACTGCTTACAGAATGACTGGGCCTTAACCCATTTGTGCCCAAATTTTTCTGAATGGTTCCATGCATATAGTCGTGTTAATAATGTCCTATGTGAACATGTTCTGCATTTATTTTCCTCAGGTTTTTTTTTCTGCTTCTTGAAAATCGTATTTGAATGTGCGGCAACTATAGTTGCCGGTGGGCAAATATGTTGTATGCACCCCATCAATGTTAAATATGAATAGGAGGAGAACATTTGGCATCTATCTCAAAATAACTGGTTTCAACAGATCAATCTTTATTCCTAAACAAATTTATTGTGTATAAAAGTCGAAGAATGTTTGATGCGAACCCAAAAAAAGCAGAATCTATAGCTTATAATGTCTTGAATATAAAAACACAACAAACAACAAATCCATTTGTCTTAAACCTTGTGTGCTGTTTGGGGTCTTTTTGACCCACATTTCTAAGTTTCATTAATGGGGATAACATGGATAATTTGACATGGTTTAGTGTAAGATTTTTGCCAATTTTTTGGAAAATGCCGTTTTAAAAGTAACAAATTATCACTTTAACCTGTAGATGGCTGCAGAGCTCCACTATTTGCGATTTGCTATTTGACTAAATGAAAGACATATTTTCACAAGTTTTTCCAGTTGTATTCATATCTAGATATTATGAAATCACAATTATAACAATAAAAGTAACTTTTTGTCGAAGTTTAGGCATTTTTTGTACTGGAAAAAAATCTGTTTTTCAATAATGTTATAGAATCAAATGATTTTTGTCAATGGACAAAATTCATCCTCAAAATCAGAAAGAACACAGAAATTTGGTGGCACACTTCACACAAATTTTAGAATTATATGAAAAACAGATGTTTGAAATAAATTATAAACTCTAAAGACTCCAACTTTTCTCTTCGTAACATCCTGATCAGGTTTGATTCTAATCGTAATGTAACATTATTGTAAAACTGATTTTTTCAGTACAAAAACTGCTAAACTTTGACAAAAAGTAACTTATATTGTTATAATTATGATTTTATAATATGTAGATATGCATATATCAAAAATGTAATTTGTTACAAAATTACATTTTGTTGCCCTGAGAAAATGGCAAAAAACTACAATAACAGTGCATACAAGGGTAAAGTTATGTTTATGCACTAAACAAGTCAATAACCTTGAATTATTAACCTATTAACACAGTATACCCCATTTCCCCATGATATATGTACTTGCAAGGCATTTGCCCACCGGCAACTATAGTTGCCGCTTGGACTTTTGACTAATTATACAAAAAACTATAGATCTATTGTAAGATTTGTTTTGTTTAGAGGATTCTAGAGACCTTCATGATTATTTAGATATATAGATGTCAACAAAAAATACTTATTAGTAATATGAAAATTAGCTTTCTTTGGGAGGGTTTGCCTTCGCCATGCTTCCTGGAAAAAGGGGTAGGAAGTTGACAGCCTCATGTGACAGGAAGGAAGTGAATACCTTTTTTTTTCCCCTTGAAATCCTTTATTTGGTTGTTTCCTTGCATGGCATTGCGACATACAACATGGATAACATCTAGAAAAA